TCAAAATGTTCAAATTATTTTTGTGGGATTTGATCACTATTTACAAATTATGTGAGATTTTTCCTATTCAGCCTCACAAATGGATAATCACAATTCCCTCTCCCAAGTAGGAAGGTAACTTTTGGGTAGACAAAGAAGAAATAATGAAATAATAAAATAAATTAGCAACATAGTATGAGTGGAAGGTAAGTCTTGTAAAAAAAAACAAAAAAGACTCAAAAGCTGTGGGGTTAGGCTCCAGGTTCACAGGTGGGGGCAGCGGCATGAAAAATGAATGAAACAGCCTATCAGAGAGAGCCAACTATGCAGATAAGTTAACAAATGATTGTTTGCGCTCGCTTCAGCCCTAGATAGCAACACGCTCAATGCTGAGACCAATCACCTATAAGATCTATTCCATCTCCCAAAGGTCGATTTATGCAACGCTGGAGGGAATGCTGAATTGTCAAAACAGCAGACTCAAGGGACCTATGTAGGAGGAAATCAGACAGATAAAGACAAATTTATCCTACAGACACAAGATGTGAATTGTAAAAGAGGATAGGGGGGAGAAACGACCAGGGATGCGAGGGTTCCACCCATGGTAAGGCTTGTAGGTCAATATCAGATAAGATATTCTCCAACTGAACCCTAGCAAAATCACTGACCTGCAAGAAAAACTGGAGAACGGATGGATCATGGTGCCGTCAAAGTTAATTGGGTCCATTCGCCAAGCACCCCTAAATTATCTCCTCTTTGGTGTTAAAAAAATGTTTACAACACAAAACATCCCCATTGTAATTCAGGAGCCCAGTATGACTTCAAGATACAGGATGTAACCTGTTCAATTCAATGGCTTCTGTTGGTTGTTTGCCCAGCACAAGTTATTGTAGAGTGCAAACGCGGTTCTTACGTCACCTCAGCAACCCACCTCCAACGGATATTATTATGGAGACTGTGTTTCCCTCCATCCTCCACCTTACATTGTAGTTGTTGTATGAAGGCCACATGGGAATAAGTTTCTAGGGCTATGATGTGGGAGTCATGGGAAGTGACTGAGCACAAGAGTTTAGCAAGTTTAGTCATTAGAAGACACCTGCTGGCATAGCATCTCCATTTCATCCTACAGAGCTCCCTCCAATCTGGAGGTCCAGGAATCAAATTCTGTGTGGAAGGCTGCTAGATAATCCCAGAAATCTCCCCCCTTCCTGATCCGTTCCAACCAGATCTGGCAGGAGACGAGCCAATGGAGCTGGCCAGCGAGCCTCAAATTTAGGGGATGAGGCAGGAGACAGATGCCTCCACACAGAAAAATAATGCAGAACATGACACGGCAAGTAACTAATGGGGAAGCATCAGCATAGAGTGATATCCAAGTCCATTCCCACCTTTGTAAGTGATTTGCATTTATTGTGGTAATGTGCAGATGCACTGATGATGTATACATGTGCACATTTTTATGGCTCGCATTGCAGGCTTTCTTCATTTATTTTTAGTTCTGAATCGAATTAAACAATTTCGCAACAGGAAGTTCAGTTTGATACCAGGCTGTGATTATAGAGCAGGCTGTAAACAACTGTAATTCTGTGTAACAATCACTAAACACCAGCTCTGCCTTTGCACACAATACACTGTCCAGGGGAGATGCCAATATGAATACTAATGCATGGGGGTGGAGAGTTCAGTTGTAACTTCCACAGATTGCTTGCAAAGCTCAGAGGCAGCCATTTCCAAGAGGATATGAAGAGGAAAGCTAAAAAAAAATGTAAGTTCCTGTGTTCATATACAGCAACTCTATATGCCTACTATATGTACACTCAGTGTACATTGCTAGCATATGTTTTGATTTTGTTTTGTTTTTTCAATACCTCATCAAAGGTGGAAATGGGCTTTAAAGTCAAAAGGTTTTTAAGCTATTTTAAACGCTGATATAATCACTTGCAAAGGATGTTGCTAATTAATGTTTATAAGTTTTAGCTTCCTGCAGAATCTGCTTGTTCCCTGAGCATTGACCCCAATATTCTGTTTTTGGATGGCTCCTTTTCCTCGCAGGGTCCTATGGAGTCATCCTTGTGTGTGCCAGTAGGCTGTGTGTACTGGACAGAAAGTTCAAGGAAGCCAAGCTGAGAGAGTTGGAGCCAGCTGTCCGAAAAACAGGATGACTAAGTGCCTTTTCAAAAATGTAAAGAAATTATTTGCTGGGCAATGTATATTTGTTTGATCCGGATTCATTAGTGAAAAAAAAGTTTGAGAGATTAATAATACTTTAAAGGCAACCACAGGCAATTCTGGTGACTGGCCCTTTAGACTTTGCTTGCCTAACAGTAGACTCCATTTCAGTAGACTTTTAAGGTCTTACGGGTTTGCTTTAATGTATTTTCACAATTTTTACATTTTCTTTTACTTATGTCTACTTGAGCAACAATTTTTAATACTTCTATTTCCATTAGTTAACCACTTGAAGTCCGGGATGTTAAACCCCCTTCCAGTCCAGGTCATTTTTCAGTATGCTGCGCTGCAGTACTTTGAAATTTATTCCGTCATGCAACGCTGTACTTAAAATAATTTTATAAAATTTTTTGGGGACAGATATAACTTTTTGGTGTGGTATTAAATCACCACTGGGGTTTTTATTTTTTACTATATAATGAAAAAAGTAAAAAAAAAATTTTTAAAGGAAAAAACCATTTCCCCTATGTTATGAAATATTATTATCCAATTTTTGGGGTGAAACCTAAAAGATGGGGTCACTTTGGGTAAATAGACACCAACCATGTCAAGCTTGAAATGTGCGCCCGCAAAATCGCAACAAACGACCATGCCTAAAATTGGCCATAGGTGAATATTTAAAAGTTTTTACCGCTCAGTGATTAATGGCCCTAAAATTATTGCTCACACTCCCACATTGGTGTTGACATGTGACATAATCGTTGTTTCCGCACGTAGGGGCACCCAAAGCATATTTACATTTATATTTGCGTGCACGCGGGGCGGGATATTTTTTTAAATAGGAGACTTTAATTTAATTATTGCTATCACCCCTTATGTGATTGCCAATATACAATGACAGGTCCTCTTAATGGAGACATCAGGGGTCTCTAAGAGCCCTAATATCACCTTGGGACCCCCAAAGAAGCTGATACAGCAGACATCTGTTTCACAAGCTTCTTCTCTGGCTATAGCAGCCAGAGAAATGACAGCTAAAGGTGGAAGTGATGTAATACACATGGCTTCCGCCTTTCAAGAGAGAGGAGAAATCAGCAGTGGGAGAATGCTAATCTCTACTCTGTTCTCACTCCTAGTAGCCGCTGTGCCAGTCCCGGGCCTGCAGGGGGGACAGTGGAGCCCAAGATAACCGACAGCAGCATTGGGGGTGCATGTTTTTTAGTGGCATACATGTCAATACCGACTGTTTACACACCCGGCAGGAACTGCTCAGGGGCGTGCACAAGCAGAAAAAAATTACGTTCAGGTACGTCCACCCGCTGGAAAGAGGTTGCCGTCCGCGCGTGTATTGACAATAGTTTATCTGTGGATATTGTTTAATTATCCTTAATTTACAATAATATAACTGCACTCTAATTGCAATGGCCAACACACAATGATACCACGCGCAGATTGTCTCAGTACAATTCTAAGGTTGGCTACATGATGTTTGGACTTCACTCATAAGACACTAAATCATGAACTAGGTATTAAAATAGATATTAAAATACAACTGTCACAAGAAAATATATGATCATTAAAGAAATGTGAGATAGGCATGCAGCACATAAGTGAAAGTGGAAAGTCAGAAACATATGCATTCTTGTACCAGCTCAAAGATTCAAAGCAATGAGGCCACTGAATCAGCATGGCAGCCAGGCAACTATCATTTTCAGAAGTAGAGGTCAGTAATGACAGCCAACAAAATGAAATGTTTCTTTTAAGAACACCAACAGATCAAGGAATTCTGAGGTCTAATACAATATTCTAATACAACATTTATTTGCAAGTTTGTTTTCTTAATAAGATTCATTTACAAATGACACTTTACAAATGAGGTACTAATACCAAACAAAAACAAAATCAGTTCTCACAGCTTAAGAAAATCAAAAAGGTCTAAGATTAATTTACAATTCTTACACAGGTAAGAACAATGTAGATACTTTATTCATGTAAATTAGAACTATGGCCCCCCATTAACAATACAAAACAAATGTATAGGTTTGTAGCACTTTAATTATAAATGTATGTGAGCTTAGAGCTTTCTCTTAGTCCCCCTACAAAGTCTCACAAATACCCGTTGAGCCTGCAGCTTCCTGTGATGGTGTGACAACCTGCAGTGCTCCTGAATTCATAGGGAGTTGTCACTGTCATGTAGGCTGTGCCTTTTGTACTGCAGTGGGATTAAAATGTTGTAGATGATGTGGTTAGAAACATTGTCACTTCTGATTCACAGAGACTTTAGCTTTTTAATAAGCAATTGGACACACCTAGTCTTGCCCACTGCCTTGTGGATTGACAGCACTGTGTTGTTGCTGAAACTAGCTAAAATGTCTGGAAAAGGGAGCATGTGAAACACAAATGAAGGATTTGGCTCAGTCAGGGAAGATAAAATAAGTTTAAGAGGGTTGTGCATCACATAGTAAATGAATGTGGTACTTGCTTAGACTGTCATACAGTTGCCTTTAGTTATAATTTAAGGCTGAAATCTGTTGCTATTCTAAACACTTTACACAAGCTGAAAGCTGAAATGTGGCTTCCATTAGGGCTGCCTGCACTGCACATTATTGGCTGGAAAAGGAAGACATTTGGGTAGACTTACAATATGATCAGGGAATCCATCACTAGTGTGATGATTTACACTAGTAATCCAAACAGCAGACAAAAGATGACAGTGACACCGTTTCTGTATACCAAGTGAAGCAATTTCCATTTAAGTATTTTAACTCTGTAAGTATCTGGCTGGGTCGAGCTGCCATTTGAAAAACAACAGTCATACAAATGTTGACAAATGAGTGAAATGAGTTGAAACCAACCTTCACAGACTGGACAGCACTCTCCTTCTGGTACATAATAGCGGTCACAGTGTAGTTCACCACACTGAGCTGAAAAGCAGATGGAAACTCCTCCCTGACATCGGCAGAAGCGGCAAGCGTCCATGCGAAACATGTCTCCATCGTAGTATTCCACATTATTAAAAATGCATGTTGGCTTTGTCTCTAAAGCAACGGAAAAAAAAAAATGTTCAGCCGATTCAGCCTGTGAAATGTGATCAATGAGTATAGCAAAGCAGCTATCTAAAATTCTATGGTTAGTCCATTTATCCAGAAAAACACCATTAAAAAAAAATGATAATGAAAAAACAAAACACAAAACAAAAACACAAAACAAAAACACAAAAAACCCCACTATAACTCATTATGCATCTAATATACAGTGTGCATGTGTTTCGTTACGTAGACCCACATGCAAACTGATAATATGGCCTAAAGAAATCAACAGGGAAGCTATTAATCAATGGGGAGCATAGTGTAGCTATTTTCCAGTGCATCCACAGCATATTTTGTCCACATTCAGGTATCATTTATTACTTAGTTTGTACAATATCGTATTTGTGAGTTAAAATAATGCGGCTGCCAGAAAAAAAAGCCTCGGCTCCATTCATCCAACATGTTCAGTTGTTTTTACTTAGTCTCGGATATTTTTTTAAATCTCATCTTTAAGATATTGCTTGCTTATCTCATGTGGCCATTGGGAAAAAAACAAACAGCAAAAAAAACATACATTTTCAATTGTTTGCTGCACATCACTTCCCCTGCCCCCCCCCCCAAAAAAAATAAAAAAAAATAAAGTAAATGCATGTGTGTTGTGGATTAAGAGGGACTTTTTTTCTCTCTAATTTGGCATACATTTACTGTGGTTAGATTAGCAGCATATGCAATCATTGGGCTTTTTCCTATTACTTTATCCTTTATCTGTTTTTTCAGAATGTGATCATTTTCACATACAGTATGTTCTTTTCAATATGTTCAAATGCTTTTTAGCCCAGCCGGGAACCCTTGCTACATTTTATTTCATCAAATGATGGATGAGATCCTTGGGCCTCCCTAGAAAACATGCTGTCCTGAACTCCATACAGGAAGTTGGTTTAACAGCAAACCAAAGAAATGGGCCATAGGTCTGGATTTACAGTCTCAAACAGGCCCTTTTTAAAGAGCTGGTGCTGATAACAAGACTTTAAGAAAGAGTTCTAGGCCCAGACAGATGCTTTCAGCGTAGGTCTGGGGGATGATTTGCAACAGGTGGTGAGTGGAGAAGAGCATTCAGTAGCTCTGTTGCGGCCTCCGTACTAAGAGAAGTGCAGTGACCTTACAACATTGCCAATGTAAATACAACATGGATGTGTTTTGATTATATCTGCTCCCGAAATGTGTTCTTATGGAATGAGCTGTAGCATTGGAAGTCCATGAGCTGATATTTTCAGCTTCCGGGATTAGCACTGGACCACAGCTGTAACAAGCAGACAACAATTCCAACCTACATGCTAGCAGGGGCCTGGCCTGCCAGAGCCTCTATGGCTTTTGTTTTAAAATGGCACTGGGGGGTACAGCTGCTATCCCAGTGTCATTTTAGAACAGAAGGTGAGACTAATGTGAGTTAAGAGATAAAACGTAGAAAACTGTATTGAAGAGATGTTTAGGATATGTCTCATTTTAATTGTTTTACCCACACAGAAAGTCTGTCACTTTAATTGCTTTATCACACAAGGTCTATTGCTGCTCCCAGGAGCCGAGCACTTCAAACGTTTTTAACATTTTTGGTGAACAGATATTTATTTATTATACAGAGTACACTGAAACCAAGATTAGTTTGACATACATGACTATGTTTAGTTGAATTAAAAAAATAGGAACTAGTCATAGTAGTGACTATGTTTACAGTAAGCACAGGTTTAGTTCACTTTAATAGGTTAGTGCATAAGGCCCTGAAGCAATTCCAGCTCTCAATTATTTAAAAAAAAATGTAATTGCATGTGTGTTAAACAATGAATGTTAGCTATATAATACTTTGTATTTTATGCACAAAGTGGTTTAAGGGAGAAAGTAATACCCTTCTTGTTCTGGACTCTCAATATAGCAAGTATATGTCACTTGAGTTATTGTACTATTTACTGTGCTGTCCTCAAGCAAGCAGCTCACAAGTGACACCCATTATGCTAGACTAATATATATATGGGGGCAATTTATCTTATGATGGCTAGGATGCAACTCAGTTAAAGTTGTGCTGAGAGGACAAAAAAAAAAGTCTTTCTGATTTATCTGGAGTCACAGGGGAACATCCATCATCATATAAGAGGGGAAAGACTTGAAATGGGCACATTTTCACTTCCTTCTATTACTCTTGTAACTTAAGTTTCCACAGCACTTTAATAAATTATACATGCTCGACTGCAAATTAATGTTGCTGAAAAAAATGACCAAACTGCTTGACAATGGTCCTTCTGTAAACAGTACTCAATTTTATTAGAGAACGGTCTTTAAGATGCAGGCTGTGTACAGACTTACCATTTGATGCCAAGGCTAGTATAACCATTTAGCACAGTACCTGGCCAGTTCAGACAGTAATTGCTATTGAGATAAAGTGGGTATGATCTGCATGTTGCAGAATGTCCAATTTCTCACAACATTTCAGATAGCCACAGAGATACACCTGGCATTTTTGTTACATTGGTAGACAGATATAAAATATAGTATAGTAAAACAAAATACAAGTGTGTTTTATTTTGAACAGCGATAGAAACCAAAATCTTTAATCACTGTGCTGCATATAACATACACCTGCGGCTGTATAATCATTAATGAAAAAGCCAAAATGTATAGGACATGGCTGCACTTTAATACATAAAGTATGCAGAAATGGTCAAGAGGTTTGGATATTCAACCAAGCATAAAAATTAGAAAGATATGTGATATCAGCAGCTATGGCAGGGTATAATTTCTACCAGCAGCTGTGCTACTTGCATAATTTCTGGAACTTCTACAAACGCCTGGAATTTTCACACACTACAGTTTTTAGAGTTTAAAAATAATGGGGAAAATGAACCAATACTAGGGATGCACAGATACTTTTCGAGTACCAGTGCAGATACTTGGCATTTTCACGAGAACTACCAGGGTTGCAGCGGTTGCAGCTGGGACCTGGCTCTGGTGCTCCACGACTGTCCTGAAATCATTAGTCTGTATTGTTTTAGAAAAACTGTCACATGACAATAAACAAAAAATGTATCAGTACTCGTACTTGTAAGTACTCGGCAAGTACCAGTACTCACAAAACTGGTATCTGTGCATCCCTTTATTTATATTTATAAAAACAAAATCGTACATTAAAACAGAGATGTACAAATCCCAGGAGCTCCGTGTGCTCCTTACAAATGACAGCTGCCTCCTAATTTTTGAATTTTTCTCTAGTGTAGTCTTGGAGCTCAAAAGTATCAGTACATGTATTCGTACTTGTACCGAGTACTGTACTTGGTATCTGTGCAACCCTAATTAATCCATATCAACCTTTCATAGGAAAAACACCCTATTAATGAGAGTTGTCAGAGACAAACCTCAAAACTTGGTTGCACAGACATTAAGTCCACAACTGCTCATACAAGAACTCTTTAGAATGGTGGTATGGAGATGGACAAACACATGAAAATTGGGCTACACACAGCTGAGGCCTACACCATGTTCTTCTCTCATAAGCTAAGAAAAAGAAGGTTACTTTCCAAAAAAAATACTTTCCATTTCTGCTGTGGCTTGTAGATGGCAAAGTTTGAATGAATTGCTAGAGGAGATTTACAAAACAGACAATGTGCAATGGCACATGTGAGAAAATGTAATGGTCCTCCGTCATAAGCATAGAACAATCTTCCTAATCAAGGCTTATTCTGGCACCTTGCTAAACTAGTACCGTGAAAAATACAGGCTGTAAGGCCCTTACTCATACCTGACAGCTGCATCTTTTAAAATGGAAAGTAAGGACATTGTTTCGAATTTTTATTAGATGCAGTGAGAGATGCCCTGTAGCTCAGCGGAGGTATGCAACTTATTTTGGATTAAAGAAAATATTTTTAAAGACCAAGAAAAAAATAAAACACATAATGAGAACTGTAATTTGTTTTATTAGACCATATAGCCAGTTGCAAACTATAGTATATGTAGAATGGCTGGCTGCCTTGGGCCTCACATTTAAAGGGCTCAAGTTATTAAAAATAAAAAAAAACTTGTAGTAGGGCTGCATCTCGTTTTAGTCTAGGGACTAGTATTCAGAAAATATACTCATCTGATCCTTGGTCCTGCGGCAGTCAACACTTACCTCTCTCCCCCTCCGCGTCCTAACATCTAATGCTGGTGATTGGACTTGCATTAGAAATGATGACGTTAGTGGGGTTTAAAACATCAGATCCCGGGGGGAAAGAGGCTGCAGGGACCAGTCTAACAACCAGGAAGGATCAGGCCAGTACATTTTTAAAAAAAATATTATTATTTGGGCCCCTACACCAGAACTTGCAGTTAACCCTTGCAGTGAGGGAGTAGCTACACTTCAAGAGTTAATTTTTCGTTTTCTGGAGTTCTCTTTTAAGGGGGCTCATGGAGTTGCTATAAATGTTCAGCACTTCAGTGCAGCTTATAATAAGGCAGATTCAGCTGTGCAAATCTTGAGTCCTATTTCCAGGAGGAGAGGGCAACAAATTCACCCTTCAAATCTCCCTTGTGCTGTTACACAGTTGTACAAATATGACACAATGCAAAGCCACGGTTAATATTCATATTACTATGAAGTGAGATTTTTTTTATAGCTAATTTTCCTTAAGCTATTATCTTTGGTATTAGTATAGCTGATTAATATACTGCCATCTTGTGGTCAGTTTGGTTATTGCACCACATTTTCTGTGTTCCCTCCTTTATGATGTATTTCCCCCTTCTTCATGAGATAGTAATTTCTGGCATAAAAATGGCTGACTGTAATATGGCCACATGTATATGCTTGCTTGGAAACATCATCTCTGACCTTCAAATACCATCTGTTTATTCATCTGCTGTGTCCTGTTGTCTGCTCTAGGCAATAAAGCACTCCGTGGATGAAAAGGTATTTGGTGAGTTCAGCTATCTGATAAGGATTGTCCGCAGTGATTATATCCACTTATACAGGCCAGGCATAGAGGTCTCCG